CTCTGCAACTCCGGTGTTGGCAGCAAGTGTTTGGAAATGCCACAAATCCACCATAAAACACAGAAGCATGAGATGACATAATCGGCTTCATTTTTGTTAAAATTACTACTTATAACAATAAAATAAGTTTATTTTTAAACTGCATTATGTCATGTTATCTTGGTGAGGTCTCATAACTACACATAACGAATGTTAATAATAATAATCTTTGTTTATATTTTGTTTCTGAAAAGAACAAAACAAAAACTATTAGTTGACATATCGGAATATCGAATTTTAAAATCCTTAAATATCAAAATCGGTATCGGCCTTAAGAATCCCATATCGGTCGTGCTCTACTAAATATGCAAAATTGTGTGCAAAAATATTTAAACTTTATAAGACCTACATATCTAAAGGTAAATTATGTGGTAGCTGTGATAAGTCTGGGAAAACTTTGAGAGACTCACTCACTCACTCACTGGCCACTTTATTAGTTACACCTTGCTAGTACCAGGTTGGACCACCTTTTGCCTTCAGAACTGCCTTAATTCTTCGTGGTACTTTCAACAAGGAAACATTCCTTAGAGACTTTGCTCTATATTGACATGGTAGCATCACGCAATTGCTGCAGATATGTCGGCTGCACATCCATTGATGTGAATCTCCCGTTCCACCACATCCCAAAGGTTCTCTTTTGGATTGAGATCTGGTGACTGTGGAGGCCATGGGAGTTCAGTGAACTCATTGTCATGTTCAAGACACCAGTTTGAGAAGATTTGAGCTTTGTGACATGGTGCATTATCCTGCTTGAAGTAGACATCAGAAGATGTCATAAAGATCATAAAAGTCACGTTTAAATGAGGCTCACTTGGTACTGAGGGGCCCAAAGTGTGCCAAGAAAATATCCCTTACACCATTACACCACCATCAGCAGCCTGAACCGTTGATACAAGGCAGGGTGAATTCATGCTTTCATGCCAAATTCTGACCCTACCATCTGAATGTCGCAGCTGAAATCGAAACTCATCTGACCAGGCAATGTTTTTCCAATCTTCCATTGCCTAGTTTTGGTGAGCCTGTGTGAACTGTAGCCTCAGTTTCCTATTCTTAGCTGACAGGAGTGGCACCCGGTGTTGTCTTCTGCTGCTGTTTCAAGGTTCGACGTGTTGTGCGTTCAGAGATGGTATTATTTGAGTTACTGAAAGTTACCTTTCTGTCATCTTTAACCAGTCTGCCCATTCTCCTCTGACATCAACACAGGCATTTTCGTCCACACAACTGCCGCTGTCTTTTTCGGTCCGTTCTCTGTAAACCCTAGAGATGGTTGTGCATTAAAATTCCAGTAGATCGGCAGTTTCTGAAATACTCAGACCAGCCCGTCTCAAACCAACAACAGTGCCACTTTCAAAGTCACTTAAATCCCCTTTCTTCCCCATTCTGATACTCGGTTTGAACTTCAGCAAGTTGTCTTGAGGTCTACATGCCTAAATGCATTGAGTTGCTGCCACGTGATTGGCTGATCAGCTATTTGTGTTAAAAAGCAATTGAACAGGTGTACCTAATAACGTGGCCGGTGAGTGTCTATATACAGTATGTATATTGTCAGTGAAATGTGAAAAACTTGCTTTGTAATAACTGATTGGTGTGTTTTCTGTATGTTTTAGGGAACATTTCCAGATGGCGACACTGCAGAGGATGGATACCATGGCATCTCTCCCGTCACAGCATTTCCTCCACAGAACAGTTATGGTAACTGTCTCTTAGTTAAAGTAAAACAAGAAAAGAAAACAACATTAATGAGATGATATAAGTTTAGAAGTCCTACATGCTAACAGAGGCGTCTTTAGTTGAAGTTTCAGAAATGTATTCAAACCAAAGAGTGCTGTGACAGTTTCAAATTCTCGTGTCTCTATTAGGAAACCCCTGTGATATTTTATAAATGTTGATTCTTGCTGTGTGCTTCTAAATATTATAAGAACGATGTTGATTATTCCTGAAGGACTATATGATATGATGGGAAATACATGGGAATGGACATCCACACCCTTTCCAGCAGCACGCCCAACGTATGTTCTGCGAGGTGCCTCCTGGATCGACACAGTGGACGGTTCAGCCAATCATAAGGCACGAATCACGACCAGGTGAGTTGTATTTTTTAAATGTTCAGACTCTGAGCCCACAGATTAACTGTGCCTGCAGTCCTGACTGACGATGGTTCTTATTCTGTGTTCTGCAGGATGGGCAACACTCCTGACTCTGCCTCTGATAACCTGGGATTCAGGTGTGCTGCCAGCGATGAACAGAAACAAGGGAAGAAAAAAGACACAACAGAGCTGTAGCAACAAACAGGAAATCAAAAATAGTGAAGGACAATAATGTTCATCTGAAGGACAAGAAAAAAAGCAAGGGACCAGTTAAATATTAATGACTAACAATAAATATTAATGAATGATGACGGTGACAGGAAGATGACACTGTAGAAACAAACTGTATTTCTCCCGTGGAGAACTTTAAATTTAATTTTTTAAAGAATTTGATTAAGAATAAATACTAGCATACTAATACCTAACATTCAAGTAATAAATCATTTTTTAAAAAAGTTCCTTGTTACTGTTTTTCCTTAACGTAAGTGCACACCCTGAAACAAGTCTCATACTGATCATTTTTTCACAAGCATGACAGAAGAGACTTGTTGGAATGTCTCATTGTCTAAATTCACTGACTGAAGAAAAAGGACACTCTCTCAGTATTAGTAGTCTTCCTTCTACACGCTGGGATCTGTCTTTTGTAAGTGTTTTTATGTGACCAGTGAGTAAATTGGTCCTTTGGTTTAGTCACAGCCTGCTAATCCTGTCTTTGCCTTTTGGTTTACTTACTCATCACGAGTGGCTGGCTGAGTGGTTCTTTTGGATCAGAAAAGAAGTTTTTATCAGAACTGCAGTTTTGTTTGAATCAAGTTACTATATAAACCAAGCCTCGCTTCTGATCTCCAGAAGCTATCACGTCCCTTTGACCCTGCTCACTGGTTAGTCAGAGCTGGCAGTTTTATTTTTGTAACATACAGTATGTGGACAGTGTTGGAATTTTTAAATAGGCCTGCTGGAAACTTAACATGTAGTTTTAGAAAAATGCAAATTATGCAAAGCTACTTTTTTCTTACGTTGTAACTTACATCCCCACAGTTTCACTGAGCACCTCCACAGCACACTTTTGAAACCAATGCAGTGTTTCCCCTGAAATGCAGAAAGTAGGTGTTATGAAGTGAACCATAATCGCTTTCTGGTGTAGAGTTTACTGTAGCTTAGCATAAAGACTTGAAACAGGTGGGAACAGATAGCCTGGATCTGTCAAGCAAACAAAATACACCTACCAGCACCTGTAAAGTTCACAGATTAATATGATATTTCTGTTAAAAAAATAATCGATAAAATAATAATCCAACAGCACCTGATCTATAAATACTGGCACAGCATGTGCTCTAATGAGGTTTGACCTGTTTATAATAAAATGCAAGTTATTGGAGATGAGAATGAAGAACAGTTTTAATCTGAAGACTGGCTTCTGCCTGAATGGTCTTATTAAGCGGTGACTTCCTGCAAAGGAGTATGCCAAGTGTGCCGCACAAATAGTTTGGGACACATGTTCAGAGGCCATGTGTGAGGAGAACACGAGACTAAATCCACACAACCCTAAACCACATCCTGCTGCATCAAGAGAAAAAAAATAGGCCTATAATTAAAGTGAGTGTTTCATTACATGCCAGTGTGTACAGAGCCGAGTGAAAAACGTGACATGACTACTTAAAAACATTATGTGGCACTCCGAAATGAACAGGAAATGGGTTGTTTAATTGACAGTAAATGATAATTATTGATGATAATAAAATACCTAAAAATAATAACTTAAAGCTGCTTCTTGTAACACAAAGACATCGCCAAGTATTCAGTTATAAAATGGGACATTTCACTGACTCATCTCTGCTCATATATGTGGGATGTTTGTCACCAAAAATACCCTCTCAATTCATCTGCAAGGAATGACTACAACAGGTATTTTCCCCAGAGCAGTTTGTTTCCAACAATAAATCGGTGACTAGTTGAATGCCTGTGGTTCTGACTCTGGACAAGATTTTTTTTTTTGATCAAATAAGGAAAAAAGACTTAAGTTACAGCATCAAGACTGACAGTTGTGGGATGTAACTAGGCATGTTTGCTTACTTTTGCTTTTGCTTTATGAGAGTAAACCTTATACTTTCACCCCGCTGAGAGACAAATATTGTACTTTTTACTCCTCTACATTTGTCTGACAGCTTGAGTTACTTTTCAGATTACAATCGCCCTTCTTTCCTGCTGAAGCCTTTTATATCCAAATTTGATGATTTTGAATTTGAATGTTTCTGATAAACTGATGGATTAAGTTGTTCCTTTACATACTGAGAAATGTCTCCTTCTTATTCAGCTAAATAAACAATGAAAAAAAAAATGCATGCATCATCACAAAGCTGAAAACAGGGCTGTTTTTCTGAGCTCATGAAAAGTTCACACTAGAGATGCGTGCTTCTCACAGGACAGCGGTGCTACAAACATATGAGAATGTATAACAGTAAAACACAGAAATTTTTCTGCAGAATGAGTACTTTTACTTTTGACACTTTAAGTTAATGTTGCTGGTAATGCTTCAGTAAAATGCAGGACTTTTACTTGTAGTGGGAAGTAAAGGATCTGAATACTTCTTCCACCTCTGAAGATTAAATTTGCCATCTAACTGCCTTTAAAATTGACAGTTATGTTGTCTGCTTTCTCTGGTCACCATCTCCAGCCCTCTGCTTTGTGTATTTGTGTTGCTTGATAGAAAAGCAGTTTAAATCAGGTAACATGCGTCAAAACCTGAATAAACTGATTGTATAGAAGCATATAAGCCCTCCCCCCTTTGTTCCACAGCAGCTGTGGCATGTTTGCACGTCATGTGGTTGTGTGGCAACTGAAAAGGAGGAAGAAAACTCTGACGGGCCACATGAAGCCACAGCCTCCAGTGACATGAAATCGTGTCATGTCGTGTCCCTTTGAAGACGCAGACAGTTCAGGAAAAACCAGTTTGGAGACATTCTGTCACCCTCCCTCCTCCTTGTTTTTCTGTCCTCCTGCCTGACAGTGTCTTCAGATGGTTTAATTGATTGTACTTCTGCCTGTGACTTCTACCAAGCTGGTCATGGACTACTCTAAGTCTTTCTCAGCCCTCAACGAGATGCTGAGACCTCGAATCACCAGCAGTGATCAACTCTACTCCTCTCTGAACAGACTGGAGGACAGGCAGTGGGGCTCGCTCAGGAGTCAATCTCCATCTTACCGACCGACGGTTATGTCAACAGAACTAAAACCAAAGGTCTCTATGACCACAACAGAACCAGAAGATCCAAGGGAACTTGACGACAATGCAGAGCAGGAGGATTTGGTCTCTGATGGCATAGACGAAGGAAACTGTGTTGATTTGCTGCCTTTTAACAACTCATCCCTCATCCCTGAATTAAATTTGAAAGATGTGGGTGAAGAGGAGCTGGCTGACAAAGACGGCAGCACCTCACCGTCTGAGGAGAAAGACATTCCTGGTGAGCTGAACTCAGCGGAGGCAGGTGATTCCTCAGAGTCGGCAGCCGATGAAGGTGGGAGCTCCTTCCAGAGGAGCTACACAGACAGGACTTTACCAGACCTGGTCAGGAGCGGCAGGCCGCTCTGCAGACGCCGGACACTGGGACACGTCTCAGAGACGGTAGGATAACAATATTTATATGTCTGTATGTTTAAAATGAGAGAGAGATTGTTGGTGCGGTGAAAAAATATATAAATCTTTTAACAGAGCATGAATTTCCATCTGTTTTGCTACAAAGTGGCTTGTCAAACAACAAAACCTGTTATACAGGGAGGACACAGCCTCAGCTGTTACCCAGGAGTAAACCAAACATTTACAAAGACACAAAATGAAATGTTCAAAGCAACACCAAGAAATCAAGTCTTAATTTGTGGCTATGAGTGGTGTAAAAATGGAAACAATATTGGTGGACAATGTTTTGTACCTCACACTTTATGTTAATAGCTTTCATTACTTTAGTTATCTTTGTGTCTGAGTGTGTTTCAATGAATGAGTTCATTTGTATTTGCAGTGTTCGTAAGTGCTGATTACATCTCAGCTGGTACAACTGGATTTCTTGTTGACAGTTTCAACCAGGAATTTAGATTACCAGTTTCTATTGACATTGTGCGAAAATGTCACAAGATAGTGCTTCCTGTGTGCGGGCTTACAACTATCGACACAGCAAAATGTGGTTGTTAAAATATACTGATGTAACATTTATTGTTTGCAGCTCAAGGAAGTGCGCAGAGAGGTGGAGCTGTCTCGGAGACGAAGTATCAGGCTTAAGGCCCAGGTGGACAAATTGCAGGAGAGCAGAGAAGGACAGGGATGGAGCCAAGACAGAGAGAGGGTAAAGGTTGCACACAAGTACCGAGACGTGCTATACATTGGCGAGACTCTGTAGGATCACCATGATTTCTCTCTGTTCATTTCTATCCAAGACCACAGAGGAGGTCCTGTCCGTTCTGCGGCTACTGCACCCGCTGACAGACCCAGAGTCCTCCCCACCTGAACCCTCTCATGGGGAAAACCGCCTGGACGCTGCCCTGGCCCAGCTGCAGAATGCGGCCCGGACACTGGCATTCAGCCAGACCAAACAGGTAAAGGCAACACCCACATGCACTCAAATAAAGCTCCTCACCCTTAATCATATCCCTGTAATCTGTTAAAAGAATGTTTGCTAAAAGTTTTAATCTACGATTTCAATCTAAAATATGACTTTATTAACTTGACACAAGTACTGATCTTGATCACTTGAAGACACTTTCACTTGCAAATTATAAAAGACACACCCGTGACCTCCTGATGAAGCACCTTCCTCATTGCATACCTGAAAAGATCATTAATTCCTTTACCAAGGTGCTATGTGGCCTGACAAGTTCACACGTGGCAGTATTAGTGATCTTTCTGGTATGCACTGTATGTGTGAGAGAGTGAAGTCAGTGAGGTTAAATGCAAGGAAGAGTTGTGACAAATAATAACTGGCCTCCCTTGTTCATTCAAAAGGTGAAATCTGAAAAAAGAGCAGAGGACAGCTTTATTCTTCAGCAGGCACTCCGAGACAGAGATGAAGCCATAGAGAAGTGAGTACACACACATGATGTACACAGTCACCTCCTCTAAATAACAAATGAATCAAGATTGAAGTGGGGGGAAAAATAGGAAGCTGAGAGACGTCAATCTATTTTGAGGAACGTGTCATTCTCTCTGTTCCGCTGTGCAGGAAGAAAGCGATGGAGTCCGAGCTGCTGCGGAGTAAAACCGAGATGATGATGCTGAACAACCAGCTGCTTGAGGCCGTACAGAAACGACTGGAGCTGTCGCTGGAGCTCGAGGCCTGCAAGGTAAACCTGAGACAAGTTTAATGTTTAACAGAGACCAAAAAAAACCCCAACCCCATCAACAATGTGGAAAGGGAAAGGTGTAATCGCTGAACAAATAAGAATAAAATATAAAAGAATCACATGGAGAATATCAGACAGTGTGGAAATTTTAACACGTGACTGGAAACCCACACACAAAAGTAAACACACTCATAATTAATGTTATCTACAGACCTGTCCTTACAGAGCCCTGAAAGTGTTCAGTTGTAAAACACACGCAAAACAAACTACAATTAAAATCTGCACACATTACATTCAGCACATGGGGTGTATGCAGGCGTTAACTGCCAGCCGGTCTCCTGCCAGTGTTTTGGTCTCAGTCACATGTGTGTCTCGTGAGCGCCTGGCTCCCTGCAGCGTTAAACTGAAACTAAGCTGCAGTGTCTGCTTCAGTTGTACACTCGAAATACACCTCAACTACTGTAAAGACAAGTCCCAGTGTGCAGTGATGGTCTAAATTCCAGCCGCACAGATTTTTTTCTTTTGTAATTGACAATTCAGATTTTAGGGGTAAATAGTAGTGTTGTAGTCAAGACTGCCCAAACCAAGACCAGAGTTTATCGAGACAAGACCAAGACTTTTAGGGGCTGAGAGCAGTCGAGACCAAGACTGAGGGAGGGCGAGACCGAGTCAAGACCAAGACCTGCATCGCACGCAATAAAATGTGGAACGAGATCATAGGTACTTCACAAATTGATCTGAAAGATCCACATTGGGTTTTGGCAATTTGCATAAGGTTTTGGCAATTTGAAGCTTAAATACCAAAATGTTAGTATCATCATTAAAAAAAGTATATTGGTGAAACCTTTTTCTGTAAATTATGGGTATGATGTTAAAATAAAAAGAAAAAAAGTTTGATTCTATTATGTTTACAACTATCATCAGTTCCATGGATATTTAATAACGGTTCAATTTGTAGACTCTCCTCTACTTGTGCCTTCAGACAGTTTGTAGGTCACACAGTGGGGGGCAATTTCTTTTTTCCTCTATAGATGGTCCCTTTGTTTTCAATTTCAGTGATCTGGCAGGTTAAGTTTGGGGACTGTAAAGAAATTATTAGGGTGGGGAGGAGTGTAGAAGTTAAGTGTGTTCTTTGGGCAAAGAAAGAGGCAAAGCGCAAAAAATTTGTGGATTTAGCTATTTCCAAATCTTTAAGGCAAAATGACATTATGAATATTCCAGCCACTCATTTTTGAATAAACATAGACTAAATAAAAGACTAAACTTTAATTATCATATAGGCCAACTTAATATGACACATTTAACTTTTTAATTTTTACATTACAATATTACATTGAAGCACTATTATCCATCATTCATAAGTATCAATGTTTTCATAATTGACGTGTTGGTCATCAGGTGATGTGAAAAATGAAACCCTGAAACTGACAGGTTTGTTGTCCTCTGTGTTTGATAAAAGGTGTAAATGACCATCCCCCTTTTCTGACCACCCTTCCTCTCCTACTAATTGTTGTATAGTCCCTTTTCACCAATGGTGCTCAGTGAACATTGCTCTGAAAGCAGCCACATGACAGACAAATGTAACATAGATCACACTTTCACAGGTTTAAAGTATGGTTTATCATTTACATTTATTCATTTTAGCTGACGCTTTTATCCAAAGCGACTTACAATTGCTATACATGTCAGAGGTCGCACGCCTCTGGAGCAACTAGGGGTTAAGTGTCTTGCTCAGGGACACAAAGGTGGATGGGTCACATTGGTGGATGGGTCACATTTAACTTGTCCCTCTTTCTCACATTTCCTGTCACCAATCCCAGATTTGAAATTACAGATATTGTGCTCTGACAGCCTGTTTGTTTTCCTTGCCTCAGGAGGACATTCAGCTGATCCTCCACCAACAGCTGCAGATCCAGCAGCAGGCAGAGCAGGCCCAGAGGAAGCCCTCCCGAGGCATGGGCCTCCTGAGGAGAAACAAACCACTCGTCCAGCGGCAGTCCAACACCCTTTTTTGTACATCCATCTCTCACACAACCAACTCAAACCAAATCTTTATACCCAAATCGGCTGGTTCTGCCTCGACTCCAAGCCCGCCTCCTTCTGCCGGCACCCAACGCAACTGGAGGGACAAGCTGAGGATGGGCAAGAGAGACCAGGATGCTGCAGGACAGGATTCAGAGTTTGACAGGGCCAACGATGGCTTCCAAGTCGTATCACTCGATTGAAACAGTGATGCATTTGCACTTCGAGTACATTCATTCTGATGCCAAACTCTCATGTTTAACTATTTAAAGTCCCCCCCACTCAAATGTGTTTTCTTGTCACTTGGTTGTTTGATCTTCACTGTGCAGAATGATGTAACTTACAGCTCCAATGCACACACAGTGCTTAGGAAACAGATTTTTCTTTGAATTAGGAGACATTTTGTGTCCAGCATTTAGCAAGATTTACATAATCATAGATTCTGGACTTTGTAACGAGGTAATTGAACTTTGTTGTAGAAGAAAAATGTTCCAAGCAGAGTATTTTGTATCTGTCTAAAAACATCTTTGATATATTCTTGGGAAAACGTGCTTTGTATCTCCGACTAGTGTCACTTTACATATGAAACAACTGATTATGAATAAGCCATATACATTTTTTAACACTGTAACACTTGAATAACTTACACTTAATTTCCTGAATATTATTGTCATGTTGTAAATAAATTAAATTCTCCTCCAAAAGTGCCTTCAAATCTCTTGCCCAGTCAGACTGCAGTTTATTTTGAGACAGTGTCACTACGTCACTTTAGATCGTCCAGTGTCTGCACTTTGGGCATGTTACACTTTCAACATTGAAAAGAAAAAGAGTATAAACTTTGTCGCAGATTTTTGCCATTTTATTGTATAATATTAATTAGTTTGTACATTTCAATAATATATAATCCACTCCTATATGCATCTTTGCACACATTTAAAATGTATATACGGCAGTATCTAGAATGAGTGCCACCATTGTGGCAACATGTTCAACAAACTGAGACGTATGTAGCACAGCAAATTTACATCTGAGGACAAGAGAAAAGGCATGCTCATAGTGAAACAATATACAATCCTGAAGAGATGATTACAGTCTTCAACCTTTCTATGTGAGTGAATAAATTCACATTTCTATATTGTTGACACAGGGCTCCCCATTCTTGCCCTACTGCAAGACTACAGAATCTGAAACACCCCCCCAACATCTATTCATATTGTGTAACAAGACAACTCCTGTGCTTGAAGGGGGGGTGCTTTTCCTCTAACTGGACCTTTATTAAAAAGAATAAAACAAAGACAGTTTCGCTAAACTTAATTCTGGTAATTTGAAGCCTTTAAGACTTCTGTATTCACATCAAACGAACATAAAACATTGATTGTAGTAAACATCTAGTGCCATGAAGGGATACACCCGCATCGGTTAGGCTTCACTGTTAGAAAAGTCAGATAGAACTGGCAACCCAGCTGCCAATCTAAAGTATGCTAGTCAATATTGTAGAACAAAAGCTTTTTTTAAATGTTTTTTTTTTATCAAGTTTTACAGAAATGGAAAAGGAGCTCTCGACAAAAGAGGCACATACAAATTCACAACACCCTGCTCATTCATCCAGATGGCAGTTTCACTACTGTGGACTGTACTGTTCAAACCCATGGAAACAGAAATGATATTGACACTATTACAATTCGATCACAACATACATTGTTGCAGCATATATTTGAGAGATACCCCTTACAGCTTTGTAAAGATAAGTGAGATACAGATAATAAATCTCTAACACGTTTCATTAAAACAGTGATTGGACTGACCAAATACAAAGACACAACAACATTACCACGGCTTACTGCCAGACAGACAGAAGAAGAGTATTAAGTGTACAATAATTAGCATATCCAGTTGTAACCTGAGATATTCAGGAAACAGATTGTGGCAATACTGCAATTGCGTGTTTCAGCTTGGTTTTCATAGTGGATTATGTTGGCATAAAAATATAGCCAGCATTCTCAATGACCTTGAGTTGTAACCGTCCTGTAAATATTTATCTCTGACACACAGAGAAAAGGACGTGAGAAATAAAGGACCAAAATTGAATATCTATATATCTATACATATATATATATATATATATCTCACTATTATCAACATTAAAATAAGTTTCTACAACAAACCATCTCTGCGCATAAAGTCTGCAGTCCAGCCTCTTTGCAGAGCACCAACCTCCTGACACATATCAAACCTCCTCCTGCAAAGAAACACTTTTTGCTTCGCACATTCTTCACTTCTCTCCAAGAAGAGCTTCTCACATATACAGTATTTGTTTCATTCCAGTGCTGTCAAAACCTTCACATCCAACTATCTTCCTACCGGTCCACTTCAGCTCTAGATTGCACTTGGCCTAAAGCCACTTTTTCTGTTATACTGGCATAAATGTTTCAACATAAAGAAAGCACTGTGCAAATGAGAGTTTCTTTGGATTAGTACATCACCTCCAAGACAGCCCTGTTATGTTAAACTGGAGATATTTTCATTGCTATTTTCTACTGACCAGTCTAAAAATCAATGAAAACACACACTAGCTATATGGCAGAGAGACTAAACAAAAGAAGAGTTCACCTTCACTACACTACATTACATTTGTTTGAAGGATAAGAACCAACTGCTGTGAAAGGGTGAGTTTGGTCCATTGTGTTTTAGCATCATATGGCTCCACTTGCTCTTGCTGAAGCTGCTGAATTCTAACCTTCATTTTCATCGATGGGATGCACAGAGGTGCTGAGCATAAAAAAAGTTCTGAGGCGTGGGCAGGAGGCAGCTAGGACTGAAGGAAGGAGCTGATGGAGCTGATGAAGTCTAAAGGTTTGTCTGCGTGGATCCAATGGCTCGCATCTGGGATGTACTGGATGTCAGCATTAGGGAACAGCCTCTGGATTTCTGGGTAATCCTCGGAACTGGATCAGGAGTGAAGACACGGAGAAGGAGGAATGAGAATATCAGGTTAAACAGGGTGGTGCAAAGGCGAAAGAGATGGAAGGAAGACGAACAGTAAACAGGAAGAAGTTGCCACTGTATACAATAAATGTAAATGAAGAGAGATCAAGCATGGTATAAGGGGTGTTGAGATAGTTTTATCGATTTAACTGGTACATTTATTTAAATTTGTATTTTCTACTTATTTCATGTGTTTACAGTAATTATATATATATATATATATATATATATATATATATATATATATATGTGTATGTATGTATGTATGAGGTGAAACTCGAAAAATTAGCATATCCTGCAAAAGTTCATTAATTTCAGTAATTCAACATAAAAGGTGAAACTAATATATTATATAGACTCATTACATGCAAAGTGAGATATTTCAAGCCTTTATTTGATATAATTTCGATGATTATTGGGTACAGCTTATGAAAACCCCAAATTTAAAATCTCAGAAAATTTGATTACATGAAATCAATTAAAAAAGAAAAAAAAAAAGAAAAAAAGAAAAAAAGGTTTTAAATACAGAAATGTCAGCCCTCTGAAAAGTATAATCATGCATATGTACTCAGTACTTGGTTTGGGCCCCTTTTGCATGAATTACTGCCTCAGTGCGGCGTGGCATGGATGCTATCAGCCTGTGGCACTGCTGAGGTGTTATGGAAGACCAGGATGCTTCAATAGTGGCATTAAGCTCTTCTGCATTGTTCGGTCTCATGTCTTTTATCTCATGTCCTTCAACCCCATAGATTCTCTATGGGGTTCAGGTCAGGCGAATTTGCTGGCCAATCAAGCACAGTAATCCCATGGTCATTGAACCAGGTTTTGGTACTTTTGGCAGTGTGGGCAGGTGCCAAGTCCTGCTGGAAAATGAAGTCAGCATCTCCATAAAGCTCATCTGCTGAAGGAAGCATAAAGTGCTCTAAAATGTCCTGGTAGACGGCTGTGCTGACTCTGGACTTAATAAAGCACAGTGGACCAACACCAGCAGATGACATGGCTCCCCAAACCAATACAGACTGTGGAAACTTCACACTGGACTTCAAGCATCTTGGATTGTGTGCCTCTCCATTCTTCCTCCAGACTCTAGGACCTTGGTTTCCAAATGAGATGCAAAATTTGCTCTCATCAGAAAAGAGGACTTTGGACCACTGAGAAACAGAGCAGCTCTTTTTTTTCCTTTAGCCCAGGTAAGACGCTTCTGACATTGTTTGTTGTTCAGGAGCGGCTTGACAAGAGGAATACGATGATTGAAGCCCATGTCCAGGACCCGTCTGTGTGCGGTGGCTCTTGATGCAGTAACTCCAGCCTCAGTCCACTCCTTGTGAAGCTCCCCCACACATTTGAATGGCCTTTTCCTGACAATCCTCTCCAGGCTACGGTCATCCCTGCTGCTTGTGCACCTTTTTCTTCCACACTTTTCCCTTCCACTTAACTTTCTATTAATGTGCCTTGATACAGCACTTTAAGAACATCCAACCTCTTTGTGGAGGGTGTCAATGATGGTTTTCTGCACAACTGTCAGGTGAGCAGTCTTCCCCATGATTGTGAATTCCACTGAACCAGACTGAGAGACCAATTAAAGGCTCAGGAACCCTTTGCAGGTGTTTTGGATGAATTAGCTGATTAGAGTGTGACACTCTGAGCCTACAATACTGAACCTTTTCACAATATTCTAATTTTCTGAGATTTTGAATTTGGTGTTTTCACAAGCTGTAAACCATAATCATCGAAATTATATCAAATAAAGGCTTGAAATATCTCACTTTGCATGTAATGAGTGTATATAATATATTAGTTTCACCTTTTAAGTTGAATTACTGAAATAAATGAACTTTTACACAATATGCAAAGTTTTCAAGTTTCACCTGTATTTAAATAATAATGAATATCAAATCAGATTCTTAAAGGTGGAGTAAGTGATTCTGGAGAAATCCAGCAACATGACAACCACTGTGATATAGAACAAACACCAAGTAATGTAACTAACATTAGCTAAGTTGTGGGTTAGCATACTGTTGTTACCAGATTTTATTTCAGTGCACACACAGAACAGACAGCTGACGGACCCTGAGAAGACATTTTTTGACAAAAATACGTGTATTGGATTAGAATCGCTTAGACCACCTTTAAGGGGGGGGGGGGCAATTGCAACACCCTTGGATCAAGTCCAGCTGGGGAGTTTTGTTGCATGTCATTCCCTCTCCGTACTATTTCCACACAGTATAACGTGATGTTTGTTTGTCTGTGTGTCTGTAGAAGATCTGACTGATCCATAGACATATCAGTGGATGATGTTCAGGATCTTATCATTATACAAATTGGTGATATATTAGTTTGTCTAATTTGATGATGAGTGAAACAGATACATTTTATTGATACTACAGCATTAGTCCAAGAATATTACAGTTGATAAATTACACAAAAAATACCACAGTTAATCAATCTTGAAATGTTTATTAAAATAATAATGGTTAATAAGTAGCAATTGAATATTTACTAGTGTGTTTTCTCAGCAGTATTTTTATTTTCTGCTTTCCATTTTGAATTACACAGTATGTTACTTTTCATTTTCTTTGTTATTGTATTATATTTTCGCAGTTTAATTTCAATTACCCATAAACAATGTTGGACATTACTGTAATAATATTACTTTTCCCAGTAACTAGTAGTGTAACTAATTACTTTTCTAAAATGGTAATATTATTACAGTTAATTA